TAAATACTTTTGTTTCGTACAACTTGGTGAAAATCTGACAGTAATATTTCATGTTCCTTCAAGCATAAAAGAGTCTTACATGAAATTTTGATAAAATTGCGGCCCTCCATTGGATTTGTGTTTTTAATTGCGGCCCCCGGCCTCATGTAAGTTGGAAACCCCTGATATAGATCATAGTCTATCTCAAGGAATAACAACACAAAGAGTTAAAGAGTATTACGTAAAAATAAAATTAACATATAACTCGTTTACATAACAATTTCGTTAACATCTAACTCGTTTTTTTTCCTCCTTGCGCAGCAAAATAACAACACTGGCCCAAATAGTGCCGCGCTACGGCAAAAAGCTGAACTACAAGTTAAATTTATGAGTTTATCGGCTTCTTTTATTATTTTTAATTGAACTTATTAATTTCTGGGTAATCGTTGGGTTATTTGTTTTATTTTATTTTTATGAAATACATAGATGTTAATTCTTTAACGTTGCCGTATGTTAATGAAGACAGAACTAAATTTTGCTGAGTAAATTACGATTTCTTTTTAATATTTTGATTTCTCACCATTTTTCTTGTTCTCAAATTTATTTTAATGTGTAATAAACTGAATATTTATATGGATAACATACATGCATCGTCACTCCTTTTAAGCTAAATAAGTCCTGAATGTGTTAATAATGTAGATTTTTTCATTTGTATATGTACAATGGAATTTTATCTATGACAGAATTAAACAGAAGTAATTAAAAAGATGTCAGAAACACTTCTTACTTATATTAGAATTAAAATTTGAAACTAAAGATTTGAAACTAATAAGAAAATTTTATGTTTCTACTTAAATACTCAGTATGAAAAAAATTTCGAATTACGGACATTAATTCACGGAAACATATTTTTTTTTTAGTAAACTTTTATTTAATAACTTTCATTGAAATGAAGAAAAGAACTAACTACTAATTAAACTAAATAACAAACTGAAAGAAAAATTGGAACTAATCACATTATGAGAAGTTTTTGTATTCCTTTCTGCTATAAATATAATCATCTATAATCGTACAGAAATGGTCGAAAATATGTCAGAGTCACTAAATTTTAGTAGTATAGCAGAAATGCCATGAAGAATGCAATAAAATTTTTGCCAAAAAGGATAGTATTAACAATGATTTAAAGTTGAAAAAGAGAATAACAGATGCGTTCATCTAACAGGAGTGGTCTTTAGAGACTGATTCTGAATTGACGTAGCCCGTATTCAGTTCTGAAAATAGTTTGCTGGTTTGAGTGATATCCTTACCCTTCCCCAAATTTGACAAAGTTTAAATATGACATTAAGTTTAAATATGTCATTAGCCAAAAGTTTAAATATGACAAAGTTTAAATATGACATTATATTTTTCCAATTGTTGATAATTAGTCTCTGGTTTGGTCAGGGCGTCAGCTGCGTTGTTCTTTTTTTAATCAATATGACGTAACTGTATCGGTGCTTATACGATTGTTTCTTTCTTGACGTGCAGGCGAATGTCAATGTGGTTCCCACAAGTTGACAGCAAAGGGTTCGGACTTATTTTTATGTTACTCTGATAGTCACAATATAATTTTATAGCTTCTATTTCTTGATTAAATTGTTCTTGTTTGAGTTGTGAATCCATATATTTCTGTTCAGAATGTATTCTGCTTCAGCAGTTGATGAGGCAACCGTTTGTTGTTTTCTTGAGTTCTAAATGATAACACAATTTGAATCATCGAAGACATAATCAGTTATCCATTTCTTTTGGCATTTATCATTGACCTAATCCGATTCTGTAAGGCTTTGAAGTTGTTCTCCTTTGGTAAAATTGAACTTCTTTGAGATTGTATCCTTAAGGCATTGGATTGTCTTTTGACTGCGCTCCAATGGGATTACCAGGATTGTTTGCATATCGGCTAACAGTTCCGACTATGTATGCTACCTCAGATCGAGTTCTTTGTGAAGCATAGATTAGGCTTACTACAGCCTCTATAGGGAATTCATCCAACTTTTTTCTCACTTTGAGGATCATAGTTAAAACCGTATTCATAGTTAAAACTTGATCAGTGGAGAAAGCAGTTTTCGTTTCGTTACCCTCTTGCATATTGAAGCTTGTTATCATGTTCTTGATATAAGTTGATTGGTCCAAGCTAATTATTCCATTCTTACGGTCTCTTGTGATGGTTGCTCCAAGTATATGATAAACCTCACCAAGATCTTTTATTCTGAAGCAATGCCTTAGCTTACTTTTGATATTTTCTTTTTGCATGATGTCATTTGATAAGATAAGCAAATCATCTACACATATTGCACCGATCAAGATTTTTCCCTCTTTGTTTCAGTAGAATATACAAGGATCAACCTTAACAGTCTTATTCCTCTGTATGTTCGACTAGTTCAAAATACCAGCTTTGGCTTGCTTCTTTCAGTCCAAAGATGGATTTATTTAGTTTGCAATAACAACGACAGAAATATTTGGGGTTGTTAGAAAGTTCCTTGTATATTTTTCCATCAAGTTTTGGGTGTAACAATGCAACAACTGCATCTATTTGATATTGATCTAAATTTAATTTAACTGTTTAAGCAATAAGAAAACGAATGTTTCCATGTTCTCCATGTTTTTATTAACATCCTTTTGCTACTAATCTTGCCTTGTGTCGCTTGATTTCCCTTTTCAATTTATATTTAGTCTTAACTGTTCATCTGTTTTGATTGCTTTCTTACAAGAATTTATTTCTCATAAGTCCCACGTCCCGTTTCATTGATGAGCTTGAATTTCTCCTTCAAAAGCGACTTTTCATTTCTATGCTTCAGAAGTTTGCTTGGCATTTTCGTAAGTTTTCTGATCTTGAATTATGCAAAGGTTTAGTTGGTACACAATTCTAAATTTGCATAGTAATATTTTCTTCTTCTTGGTACCGCAGTTCTTATAGGGTATATATTTATATCTTCAGAGGAAGTATCTTCACCTTCGGTTATCACTTATAAGTTCCATGAAGGTGCCTGATTCCTTTGTAGATAAAGAAGAGGAAACACTGTTTATTTCAGTTGTTTCCATATTTTGGGATTCAATTGAGCGTAAGTTATTTTGAGTAGGTTTGTTTAAAAATTGATTTTAGATAAAGATGAACAGCTAACGATATTCTAGTTTGAGGGATAATAAATTCTTCATTTTTTCTTTTCTTTATTGTAGCCAATGAAGAAGCATTCTTTCGATTTTAGGTCTCAATTCTGTCTATTGACATCTGGAATTTGAACCATATATATACAGCCGAAAATTCGCAAATGGAAAGATTTGATTTCCTTCCTCATCATCTTTCTTCAGAAATAATCTATTTCATGACTTTAGTTGTGATTCGTTCTTTAACTAAGCTGAACTGGAAAAAAATCGACTGGCGGATAAATAAAATGGGTGGAACTAAAAAGAAATCGAAATTCATTTGATAGCGTAGGAATCAAAGAGGAGTTCAAAGGTGATTGTTAGGAAAATCTCCGGGTTTCACGAAGCAATCAAACTGGTTTTGACGTATCTCATTTCGCCTTTTTCTCTTCTGATTCTGCAGATTTATTTCAATAACGTCTTTGCTTTTCTCCCCTTAAACTCGACACTATGAAAAGTTAATACTGTTTTTGCTTCATTTTTGACAAGGAACCTAAAGATATGTCAATATTAAGGGTGCTGAGTACAAAATACTGTGCATATGTAAATATTAAATGAATGATCTTTAAATGCAGGTACAATTGGGTTTGAAGAAAAATGGCGGATCGCCATGTTACGATACCACTAATGGTTAGGTCTGAAAATATTCAGTTTGTAGAGGATGATTTGGAAACGATATCAGACAATGAACCATCAACTGATATATCAAATGTAAGTGCCTTTTTTACATGTTTATATCATTGCCATTTTTATAATTATATAAAGTAATAATACTATTTTTATTATTATTATTATTATATAATATATTTTTAGGAAAATAACTATAATATTTTGATTATAGTTTCATAATGCTTTTTACTAGTTTTATAATTTCTTAAAACTTCGCGTATTTAAGTTTTGGAAATAGATTTTAATTCACTTTTTCGTTTTGAAAACATACATTTTAACTCTCCCCACCATTGTTTTTGTTGTTTTCAACAAGAAATAATAAATGTGTCATGTGTATTTTATGTTATTTTTTTACAGATTTTTTATCTTTGCATTAGTTAAACCAAAATAAAATTTTAGACTAATGTGTCACATATTTAAATTAATCTGAAGTTCTCTTACTGATTATGATTAAGTTTAATGTAAATATAATGATTTTGTTGCTTATCAGCATCGTTAAATTTTATTCGAAAATCTCATCAAAGTAATTCAAATCTTGAATTTAATTTCATAAATAGAGGAAATTAATAGCCATAATAATTTATTTGCTATACCTAATAATCTTATTTATTTTAAACTTATTTAACTTGAAAGTGGATGAAGTTCGAAATCAGACAATTCGTGATTATTGCATTTCTTTAAAAAAAAAATTTCTATCCCATTGCTTATTATTTTTAATTATTTTTTAAAAAAATAAATTGTCTAATTATATATATCTACTTGACTGCATTTCATCTTCAATTGTATTGAAATCAAATGTTTTTTTCTTAGGTATTTTTTAAAACGTTTCCCCCGAACACTGTCACTTATCGTTAAAAATTCATTTTTATTTAGTGCTTAAAAAGAAAAAAAATAGTTGGTATACTTATATTTATCATTTTTTCATTTTATATAAATTTTACACAAATATTTGAATAAATATTAAAATCAGTTGTTTTGTGATTTCGAAAGCATCTTTTGAAACATCTTTTAATGAGAATGATTAATAAATATTTTTACAAACGAAAAACTTTCTGAAGAATATTTTTTGATCATAATATATGTCTTTAAAGCTCCTTTACATAAAAATGCTGCCTCGCCTAGTAAATTTATGTAACAGCATATTGAGAAAGAAAATTTAAAAAATGCAATTTTTTTATTTGATAAAATTTCTAACTCAAGTCGTGTGCAAATAAAATCTCATTGTTCTAGATGATAAATGAAATATATTATGTTGTAGATAATAAGTTTATAGTTGTTTTTATTGTATCGCTATTAACTATATCTACTTTTAACTAATTCTACAGAAGTAATTCGATCCTTTAATTAACATGATTTTAAATTAAGAACAATTTATGCATAATTCACGATATATCATTTTTCAGCATTTATGCATGAAACTGAACTTTAAATTCACCATTTGAGAACTGTAATAAATAAAAAATAAATGTTTTATCGTTTGATAACGGCGTTGAGAAAAGAAAGACTACTTTTACTAACTTATCATATCTATTCAGATTAGTGAAAACAATCGGTGGAATATTTCGTTGTTACCTGAAAATAAAAGTATCCATATCCTGTTATCCCCTAGTAAGTTAACATTCAAATTTTATTCATTGCAGAGGCAATTTATTTAATTTAAGTTAAAAATACTTTTAAAATCTATTATTTAGTGAGATATTTCAGGTAATATAAATTATCTTTTAATATTCATAAAAATATAGATGAATAAAATTCAAATTGTTTTTTATGTGTTTATCAGTATTTCTATTTACATGTAATTGACTGCTTTTATTTTAAAAGTTAAATTCATTTTTTATTCTTCTATTTGCAACGTTTCATGGAATAGTTGATTAAATGTTTTACATATTTCTTACACTACGTACATTATAGTGCTGTTTTCTTTAGCTAATAAATAATTCGCAAAAAAATTTTTTTTTCGAACTAAGGATATTATTTTATATTCCTTGGTTCTATCCTAATTTATCAGTATTAATTAAACTTATATTATGTATGACTGTATCTATGCCAATATTAACTATTATTAACTTATTTTATAACATATTTGCACGTTCTATTTGAAAGCCTTTTTCTTTATATCAGGCGTGATTTTTTTTATATTTGAAATTTGATTTCGTTCCTTTGGTTATTTGCTTTTTTACTACATATTTTCATTCGCATTTACTTACATTAACTATATCAATATTATTTGCATAACTATATCTTTATTAAATTAAAGTTATCAAATATTATATATGTTATTTTTATACTTCATAAATCAGAGCAGCTGTGTTTAGAACATATGTAGTTTGTATGTGTTTAGAACATACGTAATTTGTAGAAACCGTAATTTATTTTGGATTAAGAAATATTAAAAAAATAATTGAATATTTTTATACATCAATAGAAGGCAGTTTTTTAATATCCAAATAAAAAATGTTAATTTCTTAATTAGTCCTACTAGTTTGTATACATTTAATGTTTTTGTAAATGAGCATGCAAAAATAACTTTTCTCTATAGTATATATAACTTTGTATAAAAATAAACTTATATTATGTTAATTTTGACAAATTTTAAATGCATATCTTAATTGTATCAATTTTTCTTTTTACTTTTCAAATAAAGCCCAAAGTTTTCGGGCAAGATTTCTTTAAGTGATTTTTAAGTTCAACATTATCTAATATTAATATACAAAGATTTGTAGGAAAATTGTGACTTGAGCATTAATAGCTTCAACAAGACAAGCTTATTTGTTCAAGCAAATTTGTTTGAAATGAATTTTTCAAAATGAAAATACATGAAAAGTTTTAGCTATGACAATTTATTGTGAAATTCTCTATTTTGGAAATTTCAGAACCCATCCGGAGCAACGGACTCTCACATTTATCACGAAATCTCATGTAACAAAAATTCAAGAGTTGATTACTTGGAAATTCCAAAAATATCTCGGTCACGATCAACAGAATCATCAGCAGGAGAATCATCTGGAGGAGGTAGTCCCATGTTGGAAAGAAAAAACAGGTAAGTTAGTCTTTAATTAGAGATAACGCATAACATTCAATCTTTCACTCCTAATATTCTTCATGGTCTCTATTGAGTTGTTCATGAAGCTTTTAGTCCTCAGTTGGTTTCCTTATTAGGTTTACACCTATTCACTTGATAGGAAACGTGGTTTACCTCCTTGAAAGTAAACCTCCCAGGATTCACAGAAAAAAGCAATGTATACCTGTAAGTCATGAGGACTCATGGAGTTGATTATTCACAATTGATCATCTATCAAGTGTCTGAATAAATGTTTCATTTATATGAACACCTAAGAGATCTGTTCTCTTTTTTACCCCAGCAGTGTTAAATACAGTCTTCAAATTAATCATAAAATGAAAGAAAGTTTCAGTGGGGAAGAAGCATTGAGAGCATTTACAACGTCATTTCAACTTGAAGGGTCGCATAACCTGTGTCCTGCAAATAAAAGGATCAAAGCATGCCCCTGTCCGAATTATTTCACAAATGCAGTATCATTTTCTCTCTTTTCTTTTCAATGATAAGGCAAGGTGACATGAGAAAGACTGATTTTTTAGCGAAGAAATAGCTTAACAAAATTTTTTGTTATAGATAAGGCAAAAAACTTACATGCTTTAAAAATGGTGAAAAGTTGCATTTTTTCCCGACAATTTAACGCAGAAATAGTTTATTTCCTTTTTCAAATTTAGAAAAGTAGAGTCCGGTTTCAAGAGATAGAAAATAACATTACAGGGCAACAATGACTGTCCGCGTCCGGCTACGGGAGTATCCGCTTTGCGGCGAATGCACTTCATGGTTTATTCATCGATGAGTCCCGGGGAATTAAAAATATGTCCGTATTGAGAGGCGTCCGTTTTGCAGGAGTGTCCATAACAGGAGGTTTCACTGTATATAGCATGCAGAGCAAAAAA